TCATCAACTAATGGCAGACCTGAGATGACACCATATATCATTACCTACCTGAGACTAGTGGGTGATTTGCTTAGTGGGCTGGACGATCATTAAAAAGAAGAAACTTCCCCCATTTCCTCTTGGGGGTACTCTCATATTTTCCTACTTTTGTCTATCCAACCGACTAATACTCACTAGCGGTAGAAAAAAGACCGCCTTATGCCAGAGCCCCAGAGTCCCTCGACGGTGAATAAATGCGATCTCCGGTCTTGAGTGTCTGCGGCAAGTGACAGTCGAAGAGATATCTCTCGCAGCGATTTTCGGTGCTTCTATAGTCAGCTTCAGTGACCAGCTGGAGGGCAGATGTTATATATATCAACAGGTTTGTGGAATCGACGCTTCTTGAATCACTATCAGAGCTGAGTCATTTTCGTTGTAGAGAAATCAAATTCAATCCTGCTTATGAATCAGAGCCGGGTTTCTTCCTTCACATTTCGCGTCCTGGTAGGAAAGAAGATCTGTGAACAAATCGTCCCATGCTCGTTTAGCCCATGCGCCAACCCATTGCATAAGCAAATCCGGAGCAACTGTTCAAAAGAAGACCTTGTTCCCTAAGCGACATCTTCGAAAAGACGATTCCAACTTGGACCCTCTTGTGGTTGCCCCAACGCAATCAAATCACCAAAAAAAGGCCAAGTCTGTATAGCATTCAGTACATGAACCGCAAGCAAGCCGTTGCAACCAACTCTGAACGCCATGCTAATCAAGTAGAAGGAAAGTCCGTAACCCAATCGCAAACTGACATCAATTCCAAGTCCATCCTGGATTATACCGCGGCCGAAATCCCCAATATTGACGGTTCCAACAAGTATATGCCTGGCTCCTTCGTCGGAATGTCAACCGTCAAGATCACGAGCGACCTCGAGTCATATCTGGCTTCACTCCGATCGTATCTAGCCAGCAATGACTTTGAGGCATCTCAACTTGAGGACAAAGAAAATGAAGGCCACTCAAAATCAGGCCAGCCGCCTGCGGCATTGCAACAGTCCCAAAAGCCGAAAGAATGCAGGCCATATGAACAAGTCCGAGTCAAGGGCTCCGCTGCAAACAATAATATGTCCCATCGTCGGTAGAAAATCGCACACATCGACATTTCGATTTCGTTATTTTCCTTTATCCCAGAAACACTGCAAAATACAGAGTCCAATTCAGCTCAGGTACCGAAGAATGAAATACGATGCAAACCGTCAAGCAGAACAGGATAAAGACTCACCTTCCCATCCCCATTCTTGCATGACACTGACCCAATGTAATTTACCTCGAACGGTCTTCTCGAATTCGATGTTTTCCAATGGCGATACAGCAGAGCTTCTTCGAGTGCCTACAAATTGGGGCTTAGACGATACTGCTAGGTCGGAAGGGATGGCGAAACTGCTGATGGCTCGTTCCTTCGTTGCCTGGGATGTTAAGCCCGGCCCCCTACGTCCCGCCGCCCCGGCTTTGCTCTGAGGATCGGAACTGCTGAGCACGCGCTCGTGGCGTCGCTGCTTTTCTGCCTCGATGGCGTCACGACGAGACCAAACTTCCTGGACTACTTCAATACATCGATCGATGGACCCTATCATGAGACGAGACTGGATGGCTCTCCATCGACTCAAAACCCACTGGCGATCCTCTCCTGGTTCGGCCTCGCATCCAGCTGCTATAAGAGGAAACATCTGAACGATTGTCGTGCGGGAACCCGAAGGAACAGTAGCCAGCAGTATCAATACACGCTTGGCCAGGTCACTAGCTGGTTCTGAAGGCATTTCGGGCACTGCTTGATGAAGATACAGTAAAGTTGCCCAACGATAGGCGTGTGCCGTCTGGATACTGTGCTGTACTTCGGATGTTGGATCCTCCGGCGGCACGAACCACTCCGGTGGTTCCCATTGCTCGATAAGTCTTTTTAGCTCGATAGCCTGAGAGACAAGAGAAATCGAATTTGATTCCGTCTTCCGAACCCGTTGGATCAGTCTGGCGACCTGGTTGATGAGCGGAAAGAGTGTAGTGGCGCAGCCCATCAAGGGGTCAATCTCATGAACTGCGTCGCGGGGCAGCTGGAAAATAGAGAAGTCCATATCCTGATCTCCCTCGTCGTCCCGAGAGGTTAAGCGTGCGATTGCGTCCATATACAGCCAGGTGTTATATAAAAACCGGATTCTCTCGATGTCGTTTGCATCCCGAACCTTGGAGCGTAGGACTTGCGATACGAGTGCCTTGGCCCCACGTACATGCTGGATACAGTTGCGGGTGTGTTGGTCCCATGTGTCCGCGAATGCCAGAGCCAAGCTCGTAGCTAAAGTAGCATCTGTCCTCATATTCTGGATATCTTGGACCATGTAAGTGATGCTTCTCCTCATATGATCCACGCCGTGCATTCTAAGGCCTGGATTGACCTTGCTTGAATGTAAAGCCGTCATAGAGAATATCGCATGGTACAAGGCTGGAGTTTCTCCAGCCAGAGGCCATATCAGAGTCCTCCAGGGGTTTTCGTTTAACCCATCCTTGACAGATAAAATCCCGCAAGTGAACCTGTCAAATTGCACTACCAACATTTCGGGACTTGCAATATCAAAATTTGGCTCCTTGGTCAGTATAGGAGGGGTATTCGGGGTCTCGGACGGCGCGCTGCCATCCGAAAATCCTACCAGCCACGGATCAATATACTCATCGGAATGGCGGGCTATTTCTTCTATTCTATTATTGTCCTCTTCGAGAAGTGCTGCAAAACTCAAGTTGCCCGGTCGAAGAGCTGTGTTCTGCGAAGCCAGCCCCAGTGGCCTTCGTACTGGGGTTGTATGGATCTCCGGGGCGGAGGGTACAACATGGGAGAGCCGCGGAGATTGTTCCAGTGGTGAACTATTTGTGAAAAACGACGCGAAGAGCTCGTCTTCTGCATTACTGAAGTCCAGAAAATGAGCTATGCCACCGTTCCAGGATGTGAGGTTTTCCTGGGTCAATGCAAGTGGTGAGTCGGTGGGAGGAGAATCGTCTGACTGCAGTGCATGAATGGGTGCAACATCATTCGATTCCAGAGAGGATGCTGTCGGTGCGGACGATCGAGCGCTAACCGGCGAAGGTTGACGATCCTTGCCCGCCGGCACTGAACGACTGGCCCTCCTTTCTTTGCCTGATGTGGCCGGATCACCTGAGAGATCTTAGCGGTGGCTAGAAAATGAATACCTTGCAAACCTGCAGACTTACGCTTACTGGCTTGAATAGAAGAAATTCTGCTGACCACGTTGGTTTCTTCGAATGGACGCCATTTAAAGTCCTTTTTGTAACCGCCACACTCCACGTTGCGCTTCTTGCATTGGAGACAGGTCGGCTTCGACTCGTCACATTTTAGTCTCTTTGCCTTGCAGGTAATGCAGCCTAATGTACGGTGAAAGGAAATGGAGTCAGCGCTCTGCGCAATTCTGTATTTGTGCGGTTTACACCGATCCGACATCCAGGCTTGATTTCTTAACAGGTGATAGGAATGAACTTTACCATTTCGACTTTTAGATTGCTTGGGCTTGTTAGTGACGGCTTCTCTTGTAGCTCGATTCCGTGGTGCGCTTCTTTTTATGAAAGAGGCCGAATCAAGTGTCTCGGTGGACGAAGGAATGGTGGGAGTAGTGTCTAGAATTGTCGAAGGCGATGGGATCTTGATGTTGTCCATACCGCTCGCGGTAATGACAATAAGGACTTAGCAGATATGGAGACACCCATCCACTGAAGGAGACAGAAACCCAAATAAGAGAGCAGGGCAAGACTGAGAGAGGGAGGAATAACGATGGATTACGATTCCAGAGCAGGCGGCAAAAGCAATAGATAAGCCATAACATCCGTATCCGTCAAATCGAAAGGAGGACCGGAGAATAGTTTGCTGTCACTTGAGAACCGATAGATAAACTACGGCCTCGAGAGAGACCCGAGCCGTGAGGAGAAACGCATCCAGATGATAAGGATCGCACTAAACATGCAGATTGCGGGGGCGACTGCTGGAGTGGGTTGAGGACGCAGATTCGGCGATCAGACTCGATAAGCCACTGTTTAACTGGACACAGACAACAACCGGTAACCTTCTGTTAGAAATAGTCAGGAGAAGCTCCACGGTAGAGTCGGAGCAGTCGAAGTAACTCCATTCAGTCTGTTGCTCATTGTGAAGCTTGGAAAGAAGCAAATCAACTCCCCCCTCCATCATTGGGCCAGCTCAACAGGGTCAGTCATCACCTAGACGGAAGTGTGGAATACTTGCCGCGATTATGACAAGACCCAATCATCGGGAAAGAGATAGTACAAAGGAGAGCGCCACTCGGAGGGAGAAGAGGATTTGAGGTATGACAGCAAGTCTAACGAGGAGTTGGAGATGATCAACTCTCTTGGCCTTGCCTGTTCAAAAGTGGCTCGTGTGAGGTAATCCCTGGCCTCTTATTCGATGCTTCTCTCCCTTCGCCAGTTGTTGATGGGTTATTTACAGTTTTACCCCTCATGAGATCCTTTAGGCTTTTAAGGCAGGACTCCGCACTTGTCTCAGGGCTTGTGTCATAGAAGAGCTGCTCGGATAGAATGATTATCTCATTGAGTTGAACATTAAGAAGAGTTGTATTTCCTTGTATTCAAATTCTAGCTCTTTCTTATCCGCCATATTTGAGCAGGCTGGATACAGAAACTACTGAGCAGCAGATCATGATATGGAAACATCCCTGTCGCTTAAGATTCGACGAGTATGAATAAAGCCCAAGACTTGAGTACCTTTAGACATGGCACTCTACTGACTCTCTTCATTCACAGTCTGCTGAAATGAATGATTTGGGGGTGGAGACCGACAAATATGATGGACGGCTTCAAAAAGATGATCCATTATCTGTCATTCACTCAAGTTCAAAGCAAATAACTGTGAATGAAGTATCAAGCACTTGGCGGACTGTATAAATCCTGTCGTTCCTTCAAAGATATGGCGTCTTCCACGCCAGTGGTAAACAGTCAGCAATATGGCCAAATACGCAAATCTGCGCGATAGAGTCTCATTCCCTAAAGTCCTTGACCTGCCGGATTACCAGATCTATGACCCAGAGCACTATAAACATGTCAGTGACCAGGTGATCGAACCACGAAGGCATTGGTGTCTACTCGCCGAGATTATTAAGATAAATAAAGGCTTTCCGCTCAAACTCCTGGCTTGCAGTCTCTATAACGAGGAGCCATTTCATATCGTCTTTCATACTCATGATCTAGGACGCTCCTTTGTGACACCTGGTCTGAAGAACGAACGTACGGTTGCCATCATGTATGCTCGAAAGCATATCTCACGCCGGAACTCAATCGATGTTATTGTGACCGACCATTACTCGATCAAGGTAAGCACTGCCTATGCTGGAATCCCCTTCCAGGCGATTTCCTCTTTGCGACAATGTGCTGAAAGAAACCCAGCTCATACCCTTATCCCTGCATGACTTGCTCCGACTCAATGATCAGGTCCAAGTATGGCCAAGGAGCTTCGCAAAGCACAAAAGTTGTCACAGTTGTGGCAAAAAAGCATCACTGGAATGTCAACTGTGTGGCATTTTATCGTACTGTAGCGAGGTGAGGACCGATACAAGCGCCTTGTGAGGACTTGCCTAACATTGATTATATCATAGACTTGCCAGATGGACGATCAGAAGAGGGGACATGAGAAGTACTGCAAGATCATCCGGGACAGGCACTTTCAAGAAATGTGGATGTTGGATTGGCAGCGGTTCAGGAACTTCCTGACTTTTCCCTGCGCAGCCAATGAGCCTGACATCTCGATGGCGCTGTAGCACAAGCCAAAGAAAGCATCAGAGCACATCGATTCCTAAGGGAGGGAAGCGTACGCCAGGGGGATTGCGTATACAGAACTCAGTGCTGGTGGCCAAGCTGCAAAGATAACCTAGATTAAGGCTTCCCTGTGAAGGGTTGGCTCCTTGATCGCTATCCAGTTGCGGAAGCTTTTGTGTACTCAAGATAAATCGTTTACCCATGTTTAAGGAGACTTATCAACCCAAATTCAAGGACCTGTTGGTTTGAGCATCTCGTCACTATTAAGAATAACCTGCAAAATGCGGAAAAAACAAGACGTAATAGGCGACATCGGCCCGCGGGGAATCCGCTGCAGGGCCAAACGGGCTGTCGCGGGCCCCAGACCGAGGTTGGGTGATCGGCCCAATGGCGGGGACGCCAGCAATCCCTCCCAAAAGGCTTAAGCTCCCCAGGATCTTCCCCATAACACCACCTTCGTCTATCCATCGTTTCTTCTTTTCTCTTGTTCCCCCTCATGTTCATACCGGAAATTTGATTTGGACTGTGAAGATGTTTCGGTCAGTTCCTCGTCGGATTCCTCGACGCTTTGCCACTCTCCCTTCGACTGCCGGCAGTCCCTCTCGTCTCGCCCTGCGTTCATTCACAAGCGGTCATCCGCGGATGTCATCATCTCCGCTGCCGACCGTCGAGCCTCCCGTTTCGACGGTTTTGCCATCAGACTCGTTTCAATTGCTGTCAACCGCTGAGAAGGCTGGGGCTGCGGAGGATGCGCTTTATGAGCGACAGATTAAAGATGTAGAGGCTTGGTGGAAATCTCCGCGGTTCGAGGGTATCAAGAGACCCTACTCGGCTGCGGACGTTGTCACCAAACGTGGCACTTTACAGCAGACATATCCGAGTTCTCTAATGGCTCGTAAGCTCTTCAATCTGCTAAATGAGAGAGCAGCAGAGGGAAAGCCGGTACATACCAGTATGTAGGGCCTTTATGGAGATCCTTGGTCTAAGACTAATGCGTGCAAAGTGGGTGCAATCGATCCCGTACAAATGACACAGCAAGCTCCAAACCAGGAGGTGCTGTATATCTCAGGATGGGCATGCTCCTCCCTCTTGACTACAACGAATGAGGTTTCTCCGGACTTTGGCGACTACCCGTACAATACCGTCCCCAACCAGGTACAGAGATTGTTCAAGGCGCAACAAATGCATGATCGCAAACAATGGGATGCCAGGCGAAAAATGACCCCGGAACAGCGAAAGTCGACCCCATATGTCGACTACATGAGACCGATCGTTGCAGATGGCGATACTGGGTGCGCTTCATCTCCATGCTGCATTTGATGATCCACGAACTGACAACGTCTATGCTACAGACATGGCGGTCTTTCCGCGGTCCTCAAATTGGCCAAGCTTTTCGCGGAGAACGGTGCTGCGGCTGTTCATTTCGAAGATCAGCTGCATGGCGGCAAGAAGTGCGGTCATCTGGCAGGGAAAGTCCTTGTGCCTATTGGAGAACACATTAACAGACTGGTCGCGGCTCGTTTCCAATGGGACATGATGGGGGTCGAGAATCTGGTGATTGCTCGAACGGATTCCGAGAGTGGGAAGTTGATTAGCAGTGCCATCGATGTGCGTGATCACGAGTTCATCCTCGGTGTTGCCGAGGAGGTCGAGCCTTTGGCGGAGACCCTACAAGCAATGGAGCGCGAAGGTGCTGCTCCTGCAGAGGTCGATGCATTTGAGCTGGAGTGGGTGAAGAAGCACAAGCTTGTCACTTTTGATGAAGGTATATCGATTCTCAATATCTCAGTTCTGCAAGAGTAGAGGCTAATAATGGGCCAGCTGTCGACGCACATCTCGAAGCCGAAGGAGCGCCCCGTTCTGCCCGTGGTGCATACAAGAAGAAGGTCCAAGAGAATCCCGACCTGTCTATCTCGCGTCGCCGAGCTCTGGCGAGCGACTACACAAAGAAACCCGTTGTCTGGTCTTGTGACATCCCCAGGACCAGGGAGGGATTCTACCACTACCGTGCCGGCTTTCCGGCAGCGACAAAGCGAGCCAAGGAATTCGCCCCTTATGCAGACCTCTTGTGGGTTGAAACCGGCGACCCCAATGTCGAGAAGGCTGGAAACCTAGCAAGCGATGTTCGGGCCGCATACCCCGGGAAGAAATTGGTCTACAACCTTAGCCCGTCATTCAACTGGATGGGCCAGGGCTTTGACGAGGCATCTCTCAAGTCTTTTGTCTGGGATCTTGCCAAGCACGGGTGAGTTGAAAAGCCATAGGTTGTCAATGCAGACAGAAACTGATAATTGGAGTAGCTTTGTCCTGCAACTCATCTCCCTTGCCGGCCTGCACAGCAATGCCACAATCACGACCGAACTGTCACGCGCCTTCAAGGACGAGGGAATGCTCGCTTACGTGCGACTGATTCAATCCCGCGAGAAGGAACTTGGTGTCGAGGTACTCACCCACCAGAAATGGAGCGGTGCGCCGTACATGGACGGCATCCTGGGCGCCATCCAGAGCGGCAGCAGCAGCAGTAAGAGCATGGGGGAGGGAAACACCGAGAAGGGTGAGCTGTCCCCTTCATTTTTCCTGGCAATCAATGCTAACGATCCAAATTACAGGCTTCTAAACATATACCCCGTCATGGCCGGATTCCAACAATGCTAGGCGACTTGCTTGACAGCTGTAGTATAAAAATTCCCATTGTTCACCAGACTCATCTAGACAGTACCCTCAGTTTCAACGATAATTACCATTATTCGAAATTTTACAGGATACCACGAATCCTTTCAATGTTTGGTTTTAATCTATCATCGTAAAGTAAGGTACGAATACAGAACGAACCCTGCCTCAGGCACTATTCCCATTGACAAATAGAAACAAACCCCAAGGCTGATTTAAGCTCAAAACCAAAACCGGGCTAGCATGTTTTAGTTTTACTATGTAGTTACGGAGTTGATGGGTCAGGTGCCGAGTACATGGGAGACCAAAATGGTTTCATTTATTTCCATTAGTGTACTACTTCCGTACATCGGTCTAGAACTGGGGTAAAGGAAAGAAATGATACCTGCCAACGTCCAGGTAAACACCTAGTAATTTACTGGGTACCTTAAGGTACTGACAGGATAATACCTAGATACATTCGTTCAGCACCGTTGATGTATGCGTATAGTGACTTATACATAAAGCAACAGTATTTGTTTTGAACCATGCGTACAGACGCTCATGTCTTAATTTCGGTGTCGTTCCTTGCCCTCGTATGCAGTCGGAATTTCGGATTGTGTGGGCTCTGGATTTGTTTAGACTCCGGAATTCAAGTCTCCCTACGTTCCAAAAGAAAGTATCGTAGAATATCCAGATTTTAGGTTTAAAGATACAGAAAATCCTCGTTGCTCAAAGTAGAGGCGAAGGGCACAACAGATGAAATCGACTTGTAACGGTCTGGCAATCTGCGACAGATGAAAAGAATAGAGACTAGCGTACATGTGGAAGGAAATCAGCGAACGCAACACACACCAGACAGTAGTGAGCGCATCAAGTCGGCTGCGGTCGAGACGCGGCAATGCAGTGCCCATGCCAACAGAACTCAGCAGGAACCCATCAAGGTGAGGCGAAACATTATCACGTCGGATGGAGATAGTGGACTGGCCTATAGCATTACAAAGGAAAAGAAGATGAACAAGACCAATATTTTCCCATCACCAAAGAAAAAAAAAAAAAAAAAAAAAAAAACTACGCTCAATAAACAGACGGAACAGATTTGCTTGGGTTCGGATCTAGTTGACGCGGAATGCATCGAAGATGACTATAGGCTCGTTAGCATGACTCCGTAAATGACAAAAATGTCTCAACTAACCTTCATGGCCCCTGCGGCAACCACTGGCAATCCACATGAGAGTGTTCAAGAAAGCGTAACGCTCATCTCCAGTTTCCATGGAAAGATTGACGCGATACTTGTAGGTGTTGGGATTGATTGTGTCCGCAATGTTAGGGTCGTTGACCTTGTCCAAAACGTCTTTGGCGCCTGTCAGCCATCCTTCAGTCTTGACAATGATGAAGGCTGGAGGATCATCTGCGGTTTGGAGCACATAGTTCGACCGCATGTTGGTAATAGATTCCTTGGTCACAATCTGCGAGTCCTGTCCTCCGGGCTATAAAGAGCATTAGCACTGCTTTGCAACAAAGAAAAAGGAGCGCTCACCAAAACAATGCCTTTGCCCCATCGGCCCGCCCATTGACCACCAATGAATGTTACCCAATCTCTCTGACCCCAAATACTCGGGCCGACAGCAACTTTCGGGTTCATCTTGATGCTCATACGGAAGTCCAGTTCCAAAGTAGGCGCAGGGATCTGGAGAGACCGAGCGATATCACCTTCAGGGAATGTGTGCAAGAGGTTATTGGCAGGGATCGAGTCTTTCATGACACTGAGGTAGGTGGGGCATTCCAGGAGATGCTGGCGCTGTCTGCTGGTGTTCTTCGCGCGAACCTGCTGGCAGTAGATGCATTGCACGGACAGACACTTTATCCCAATTAGCATCCATCGACTTTTGTTTAAACCAGATCAGTCAATTCTCTTACCTTGTCTTCCTCCTTTGCACGAAACTCGACAAATGCGGCATGAACGTCGTCTAGGGGAGGAGCCGGGAGATTCGAGGTGGAGGTCTTGGGCTTCGACTTGGGGGTAGCACGAGTCGGCTGCTGGGAACTAGTAGCAGAGGCAGGTCCGGTGGGAGGGCCGGGAGTCGGCAATGCAGCGCGTCCTTGCATGTTCTGCAGTGGAGTCTGCATCGAGGTAGCATGTGGGTTGACGCCGTTCGTCATCATCGGTCCGTTGGGAGTCGGAAGTGCACCTGTGCCAGGCCCTGGGCCAGCACCAGGTGCCGTGGCAGCTGCAGCATTAGGAGTTGCAGGGTATCCATTTGGAGCACTGATGCCGTTGGGCGCAGATTGTGCTGTTTGATTCTGACCGCGAAGGCCGGGACACTCGAGCAAGTGTTGCTTCTGGCGCGATGTATTCTTTGCGCGTATTTGCTGGCAATAGATACACTGGACAGAAAGACACTGCAGAACAACCAAGCAAACAAGGTGTTTTGTTAGTGACGAGAGTGAAGCGGGTGGTTGAAATATTACGGGAAATACAAGTCACGCACCTTATCGTCTTCCTTGGCGCGGAACTCGACGAACGCCGCGTGAACTTCCTGATCGACGGTACGACCCATGTTCAAGGAGAAAGACAGGGGAAAACTTGATGAACCCAGAATTACAGAGACAGCAAGAGATGACCAGAGATGAAAAAGGGTCTCAGCTGATGGTAAGGGGAGGTAAGTCGTGGGAGCTGGGAGGAGCAGACTCGGGGTGAGCGAGGGAGAAAAGGAAAGAGTTTCGGTTTGACGGGCAGAACACGAGACGAGACGAGACGGGGACAAGACAAGACGGTGGCGGTTAACTTACGCGAGCTCGTCAGGACGGAACCTTACCTTAAGCGTAATTTTTATACTGGCCCAGAAATGACTACCTTACAAATCATTACTCAACAATGGTCGGTCATCTTACACTGGTCAATACCTTAAAAAATAATTCGTTTGGCACTTTCCTCTGGATATTACTTGGCTTTCATTATACTCTATATTCTTCGATTCTTTCTGTTGCTCGTATCGTTGCCTGATGGACGCTGGCACATTTGAAGCCTTCAGAGCTGAAAGTCTAAATCTGTCACGCGGGTCGAATGATCAAGCCGTAGAGCTGAGGTAGCGGAAAGCAAGGCTATTTTCCTCTGTCGCTTCTCCGGCCATTTAGATAGGTGTACGGAGTATGTAAGATCCAAAAGACTATCAATACGATTTCATATTCTATGTTGCTCTTCTAGTAGTATTCTGGACAAGTCAAGTAACAAAAGGTACCGACCAGTATAGATCTCTTTACTCCGTACTGCCATAATACTGCGTATCAGGACTGTAGGTAGCAGACTAGACTAGCTGTGTAGAAGCTCGTGTACCCGTAACGCGGATCTCTTCCATGCAATAATCATGGCCGTTCACCGTTGCTACGCATATTTTGCGTAAATTCCCCGTGCGTCAGGACTTTATTTAATGATGCGGTCATCTCAATGGAGAGTAGATAAATCTGATATACATTGAATCTTAAAGTGATATATTTCGATCATTCCTCCACTGAAACGTGGCACAACCATCATCTCACTCGCGCATTGCCTCGGAGTAGGAGGCGTCAATTAAGAGGACAGACAATGCTACACCTTGTAGAGTCTCAAGTCAAAAAGCTCTTCAGTGAATATTAAATGCACGAGGATTGAGCGAAGGACTGATGCGCGTCCTGGCGCTCTGTTGATGCTGTATTTGCCATTACTGAACACATCCAATACGTCGTTGGTATGCAGGCTTGAAACATGCCAGTTGTTTTTACAGCTTGAAAATACCTGTGACGCTACCACGTTTACATTTGTCTCCGTACTGGTCCTCATCAAGAAATATATTCTGCCATATATACCCCAAACGTTGATACGTAGTAGATGGTACTCCGTGGGGATCTTCCACTCATATGGTGATTTAATTCGGACAGAATCGACAAGATTGGTCTTAAGTAATCAGATGATGAATTTGAGGGATATCTTGGGGACAAAGGGAAGGGCGCCAAAAAAAAGGCAAACTTCGACCGACGCAGGGATCGAACCTGCAATCTTTGCTTTAGGAGAGCAACGCCTTACCATTAGGCCAGCCGGCCAGTAAGTGCGTCAGGAAACCCGAACCTAGATCCTATCTAGATGCTAGTATTGATCGAGTTTTACCTTAATGGAAGTGTACTCCACGCACCACCTTTCAGCATGAACAAGATTAATTAACGCCAGGTGATTGTGTTAATAATGTCCAGCGACTTAGTTGCATCAACCAGCGATCAATATAGAGCAGTCGCGTGCACGGATCATTTTGATATCCCAAATGCTTACACTGCCGGCTTTACTACTATATCCAAGTTAACAAATAATTTGGAATCAGACTTCAGAAAAAGCTGTGACTGTGTTCAAGCGAAAATATGCTTTTCGAAGAGATATTTCAATAGATACAAGAATCTTGGTAGCATTGTATGGTGACTTTAGGGACAAATGAGAAAACGAAAAATAAGCAGGAAGAAAGAGAAAGGACACATTAATAGTAAGCAGAGAAGTTAAAAAAAATGCATTTCCACGAGAAATGTGAAGCAAATAGAAAGAGTCATTGCATCGCAGATAATTGAATATGAGCCGTATTATTAGCCGAAGATTGAAAAATGAAATATGAGAAGATTTTGAATGTCACTCTTACACGTTGCGTTGCGATCGATATCCATCGTAGGAATGCCTACATCTCGGAGAAGCGCAAGTATATCTCTCCGAATTTGTAGCGAACGCCGTACTCCTCGGTACTCTCATCCTCGTACGGCTCCTGATGAACTGAAAGAAAGCCCTTCGTTGCCAGGGTAAGTATGTGCATCAGGCCATGCGTGGCGACTGTACGAGAGGTAGTTTCAGGAGGCAGGAGCAACGAAAATGCTACTCCTTTACCATCAGAGGCATCAAGACGAAGGAAGCCAGCATCAGTCTCATGAACAGTACCCTGCTCTGCAGAATCTCGAGCGGGCTCCTCGAGTTGCAGGTTGAGGAACTCGAGAAAGTTCAGGCTCTCCTGGTCCATACTAGATTTCAACAGCTGGTGACGGAAGGCTGCTCGCTTCCTATCAGTCTCATCCTTGGGTTCAGCGTTGGTTCCAACGTCAAGCTCGCTCTGAAGGTAGCCAGCTAGGTCAATGTCTTCGAGGAAATCCACATCATCTTCTTGGGTTCCTGGGATCGCAAGGCCCTCCAAATCGTACTGAAAGCCGCGTCCAGCCAGGGGACTTGCACTTGTTAGGCGACTTCGAGCTCTGCCTGGTGCTGCAGGTGGAGGCACGGAAGCTGCAGAATCGCGAATGCCCCGAGCAGAAAAGTCACTAATGCTGCCAAATCCACGGAAGATGCTTGTGGCAGACAGCCCAAGCCGGGAGCTTCGGACGGACGTTGTGATATTCCAGGGCATTTGGGACGAGTCGTCTCGAAGGACTGATGAGGCATGACGGCCAATCTCTATATCCTAGATGACTGTCAGTAATTGCATGCCTCATAAGACAAAAATCAAACAGTGCAAAAAAAGTTTAGCCCACGAACATCATGTAAGTTGTTATCGTCTTGAAGAAGTCCACCTCGGCCGAGTTGTTCCTCGGACTCATCCCTGCGTCGAACACGTCGACTCTCGGAATCAGCATCACTGTCTTCAGTTGTCGAAGGAGAGCCTTTGCGTTTCTTTGATCTTTCGACGTTTGTCAGTGATGCGTACAAAGTCTCGCCGGAGAAGAAGTGCAGAGGATGCTGGACATGAGAAGTTCCCAACCCAACGCCGACTGAGCCAATTCCCTGACCGAAGATCCAGAACTCTGCATTCTTCTTAGCCTGGGTAGGCACTCTATTCTTCAGCTTCTGCTTTAGAGCAGCAGCCATGTTTCGCACGTATTCATTGTTGTATTGAGCTAGTTCAGTGTTTCGCAGGGCGGTTTGAGTATCTGTTGCAACGGCTTTCGGGATTCTTCGATTCGGACGCATTGTTGCCTCCCGAGTCTCTGATACATTCTCTACCTCTTCCGAGTGTTGTACTTCAGGAGCTTGAGGCATAGATGTATCTCCGTTGAAAACAAGGGTAGGCTGTCCGTGTTCGGTAATGGCTTGCATGCCCTCGTCGGCTAGCATTGGCTGGGGAGATATTGTCAGTAAGAACAACAACCCGTACTGTTCACAACGTACCTGATAGTCCCAGGAGATGTCATTCAATTCACCTTGTTTCATCTCACCAGTGACCGGTGCCTCAGCGTCAAGCCAGCCAGAGCTGCGCTTTTCAACCTCAGCAGCAGCGTTTAGCCCCCCAAGCTCAATGAGATTTCCGTCTTCATCAAAGTCGAAGTCAGGCTGCAGAAGAATGCCCTCTTCATCATTGAGAGCCGACGCTGCAATCCGCCCAAGTTGAACGGTCCTTTGAATGGAATTCGTCATTTCGCTCTCAGAACCGAACCCATGTATATCCCCCAGGATTAGATCTTGCGACGCAAAGTCAAGCTGCAGACTGGAGTTACGCGAGGCAGCGGTCAGACTTAGGTCAGGAGTCATTGGTAATAGGAAGCTGGATTGCTGGCTTGCTCTATCATTCTTCGACGGATTCAACCCTAAAAAATCCAAACCCAACCCTGGTAGGTTGTTCTCAGGAAGGAACGACGTGTCATACGGCAAGATGAGCTGATCAGGCCTGAGAAAAGCATTGCATTAGTATGCTTTCAAGACTGAGAGAATTCAACGATATAACGAGTCGAGAAGTAGAAAAACCACGAACCTAGCTTTGCCAGCCGTCGGATCCAAGGCTGTGCCGGGAATAGCTCCCAACATTGATCTCAATCTGTCATGCATTGCCTGCACATCTGTGAGTGTATAGCGACATTGTTGATTGTAGACTCTGGCGACTCCGTATCTGCGTATGCTGTCAATAATTCCATCTCCTGGTTTTATCCAGATGATGGAGCTCTCACAGTAGGTTCCCCTGGAGTCTTAACGCCATAGGTGCTGCAGGATCCATGATGACCTCGCAAGCTTTCGGAACATCCACGTCCAGTATTGCCTTCTTGTTCAATCTTCTTGTGATGGATCTCGAACCTAGCGTTGCAACCAGCCTGCGAGAAGAACATGTCAGCTGGTACACAGGTACTAAGTTGGAAAAGTATTCATACCATATCGTAGCAACCCCGTGCTCGGGTGATGTAAGTACTACAGTAAATGCAAGAGTCAGCGGTGTGAAATGCTGAAAAAGGAACCGGAGAGTACACAGAGCCTCTAGAAATGAGTCTACAGAAAGACAGTACTTACTTTCATGACTGTAGAACATGATGATCCTTCGTGGCCTTGTCTTTCTAGATATGGTTAAGCTGGACCACTCTTGTCGTGACGCGAGCTGGGCCTTTGCGCGTTGAGCGTGTCTGTTAGTGTATGAGGGTTTCTGGGATAGATTCTATATTGCAATGATGATTCAAAATAATACCCTAGATCGTAGGCCTCTGAGATTGTCAGCTTTCTAGCCCAATGCAGTCACAGGTACGTTCTAGGATATTGGACGAGAAGCGTTGTAGAACTCCGGAGGCTTACTATCACATCTGCAGAGCAGCTGGGGGTTTGCTTCCTCAAAGTGTACCTATCAATCAAGCTCGAATGAAGCTCATGCCCTGCGAAAGAAGATGACTGTTGGCACGATTATGAATGATGCGAGGCGATGGAGGGATACGAGACAGGTGCTGGAGGGTCTGGACGGAAAGTTCTTCGCTCGAGGATCAAGAAGAGAGTAGAAGTGAGTGCTTCAGCACCTAATGCCAGAGTCCCCTGCAAGTCCGGAACTAAGCTCACTTCGCGTGGACGCCCCTACTCTGCTGAAAGCTGAACCACCAGTTATTGATTTTCGGACTTGGTCGAATCGACTCTTCCATTGTCTACCTCTGCTTTCTAACTGTAAGTCTACACCAGCAACCAATCTTCCATGGCCCAGGACTTCCAGACCGGAGGGCTCTGCCCAACCGTGAAATCCAAAGACGCGCAGATGGATGAGGGCTCACGAAGAAAGTCGCTAAGTTATGAATGCCCGATATCACATCTTGAGCCCGTCAGCATCAATGCATCGCCAGACAGAATACACCCTTTTTCCCGTGAATTTTAGACAGAAACGATAACGGCAGTATGAGAAAATATAGGCGAAGAACCGGAAGTCTATCAGACGGAACCCCGGAAGTTTAGGGGAACGGGAGAAAGAATAGGTTGACTATGTAAAACGGCGTGAGATGTAGGGGTCTTTACGGAACTCTCGAACCATAGCTCCGACAGAGATGCATGCGGGTATGAGACATGCGAAAGGAAAGATGACCAGGAGGAAACCCAATGTAAAAATTCGACGCCAAATGAGATCTCCTTATATTATCAAACACACCCATGTTTGATATACATYACATACCTCCCCCGAACTATACCATACATATATAACCGATATCTATCATTCACAGAAAGTTCTACTCGAGAGGAATGCCCTCGTACTCGCCATAGCCGAGAGCGAGGTTCATGTTCTCTGTAACAGGTGTATGAGTAATCTGTCCTTTCAAAACAGCACTGGACGGGAGTACTTACGAAGGCACTGAGTGGCCGCACCCTTCAGAAGGTTGTCGATCGTAGCACAAACAACGACACGCTTGCCGCTGGAGTGAACAGCAAATCCTCCGACCTCGATACCATGACGGCCAGCAATGTTCTTGACAAGAGGCGCCTCACCAATGATCTTCACAAGCTTTTCACCGGCGTAACGCTCCTGGTAGATGTTGCGGATGTCGCGAGAAGTCATCTCCTGGTTGAGAGGAATGCTGATGGTGTGCTTTACGAGCAAGGTTAGTGCCTGAAACAAGCTTATAGAAGAACGGCCAATAGATGAATATTAGCGGAGTACATACGTGAATGCCTTGGAACCAGACAGCAACGTGGGGGATAAAGGCAATGCTAGTTCCGAGTTGTGTGCTGATCTCTCTCTCATGGATGTGGTCAGTCAAGCTGTAAGGAATGATGTTGTTCGTGAGGTTCTGCACATCGTTCTTGGGGCTAGGCTTGGTGCCAGCGCCCGAGTATCCGGAGACACCAAAGACGGTGGGCTGTCCACCGAGGTAGGGAACGAGAGGTGCAATGCCGATTTGGGCAGCAGTAGCATAGCAACCGGGGTTGGAGATACGAGTGGCCTGAGCGATCTTACCACGGTTGACCAGCTCAGGAAGACCGTAAGTCCACTTGTCGTCGAAGCGGTAATCGGCGCTCAGGTCGACAATGACGTTACCCGTCTCAGAGCCCTGGTTGACAGCATCCACGAACGGCTTGCAGACACCGTTAGGTAGAGCCATGACCCAGCAGTCCACATCACCATTCGCAGACATGCGCTTCACGTCTTCGGGGCTCAGATTCTCGTAAATGATCTCACGCTTGTCATAACCCTGCAACTTCTTGCCAGCCAGCTCGCGAGAAGAAACATGGCGGAGATCCATATAGGGGTGAGCATTGATCAGGTTGATCAGGGCTTGGCCAGTGTAGCCACGGGCTCCAATGAGAGCAACCTTGGAGGGCCGGTTGTTGGACATGTTCTTCTCTCCCAGAGGAGGGTTGGGATTCGTGGTCGAGTATGATCTCACAGCGCTGGGAGGGACAGCGGGACGTCCGAAGCGAGCGGCCCGCAAAGCATTAGCGGTGGAGGAGAATGCGCGCTTCTGCTCAACAGAGGCACCGCTGGCACCGAAGCCCTTGCCAATGTTAGTGGCCGCCTGAGCAGCGCGCTGGAGTCTGGCCTCGAGGTTGATGTCACCAAACATCTGACGGCCATGCTGGTTGAATTCCTGCACCAGTTGCTTGACCTCTTCGCCGTTCTCGATGCCATACCAGAAGAGAACCTCACCGTCGCGGCTCAGACTACCATCAGCCTTGTCAAAGAACCATGTAAGGTTCTCGTCGTTCTCCTTGACTGTCCAGACCAACTGAGGGAAGTCCTTCTTGATAGCGGCGAAGACGTTGTCGGCAACGTTGGACAACCATCCGGACTTGGTGATCGTGAACGTAGCCAGGTGGGGGAAGGAAGAAGAGTTATCTTTGCTTGGGGGCAAGACGACAGCAAGAGCTTCCATAGGCTCATCATAGTAAACCTTGAAGTCACGCTCCTTCAAGCCTTCGACGTAGCGGTCGACAGTAGCCCTCGCATCAAGGCCCTCGCGGTCGCGGACAAGCACATCCTTCACCTTCTCCAAATCCTCGAACTCGGAAAGAGAAGTCTTTGTGTGCACCTTGTTACCCCGGCGGATCAAAGTTCCAGCTCCAGAGTCGGTGAACAGTTCCTTCTGGAGATCAGCGGGGTGGATGATGGCAACGCTCGAGGTACGGGGAAGGTCGTTGAGCAGGTCCTTCATCTCCTTGATCTTCAAGCGAGTGCCGTGGCGCACCCACCATTGCGTCATCAAGTGGTCGTACTCTTCATCGAGATTGATCACAGAGATCTTCTCACCAGTGTCACCGTTGAACAATCCGCCTTTCTCAGCAAGGTAGACGATCTTGAGTGGCTGCACGGCGCGGGCCAACTCACCGGCAGCGACGTCCGCGTTCACGTTCAAAACCTGGCCGTCAGGGGTTTCCGCCATAGAGGTCAGGATGGGCAGACAGCCAGCTTCGATGGCAGATTCGATAGGCTTCTTGTTGACACCGTTGATCTTACCAACTAGGTTGTACTTCTCCTTGTCGAGGTAGTCGGCGTAAAACACGCCTGCGTTGATTGGACGGGCCCTCACACCCATACGTTCCAGCTCCTCGATCAGCTTCAGATTCTCCTCCAAAAACAGCTTCCTGGCAAGGGCCAAAGTCTTGCCATCCGTCACTCTGATACCATCTTCAAATTGTGGCTCCACGCCAGCAGCCTCCAGCATGCGATTGAGCTGAGGTCCGGCTCCATGGACGACAATGGGGTAGAGACCGACGTGGTTGAGGAAGGCAAGAGCCGAGGATAGGGTCTGAAGGTGTTCGGTAATGATAGCACCGCCAACCTTGATCACGGCGAATTGTTGAGAGGAGACCGATGTGAAATGAGAGAGATACTGCTGCACCTCACGCTTCGAACCAATGTTGCTCAGCAGCTGGACAACGGTAGACCGAGTTGACGAGAGGTGAGAATCTGCGGCACGGGAATAGGGGCGGCTCTGCAGCAACGGGACAGCGGAAGCTTTCAGAGCATGACGAGGAGAGCAGAGTCTCGCAGAGGAAACGGCGTGCGGTGCGGAGAGAGCGCGGACGGGCTTGCTGGTGGAAGCTCTCCGCACAGCAGTGCGAAGGGAGAACATCCTGTCAACCAGCATGCGGCAGCTTTCAATCGTCTTGGAATGAACACAATGTCTAGATGCAACTCAGTGTGAGTAAGAGATAGCAAAGAAGAAAAGTAGAACCAAGTCAGAGGTCTACAGAAGGGTTTGCGTGGGTGCGCAATGGATTTTACCACACTCCAAAGAGTTTGATCTCCAAAGACGCCCAGGAAATCGGCCGCACGTCGGAGTGGGTTTTTTCCAATAATTAAGGCGGGTGGTACTCACAGCCGCTACCCTGCGCGGTTTTTCTCGCCTGCTTTTTTAGAGAACCCAGAGTCGCGAGGGGGGAAAATGACTCAACACCTAATATGAGGTGTTTAGCACCACTAGAATCTTGAAAAAGAATCCTAGAAATAGTAAGGAGGAGAAGGAGGGCGAAGAAGACTGGAGAGACATCAGAGAGTCATAAAGCCTGTCCGACCAATGTGAGCCCGAGCTTGGCTGCGACCATCGGAGCCGGCTATCGTGACTCAATAGGTAGTCAAACTAAGGTACCTCTCTATCAGACTATGGGCCTGTGGGAAGGAACAATCTTGGTCGCGCGATATGATCTCCGTTTCTTTTCCTAACTTTGTAATAGTCCCAGTATACGCGGAATTGGCTGCTATGATTGATCATTTCGAGAAATCCTAGCCATTCATAGTACGGGCCGCCATGCAGCAATAATCACTCATCTGATTATCAAATTAACCCACTAGTAGTAAATTTCTTCCTATCCATTTTGGCATAATATTCTGCGCTGGAGGGCTGACTGAACGTAGCCAACCTTCTGGGCCTTCAATCAGAGCCAGCACTTTGCAGAAAGTTACGAACAGCGGATATTCGAACTCGTGCCTTTTCTGCGCCTTCGTTATCTGATCTTTTGGTGGTTCCTCCTGACCCCTTCATAGGCTAGCCTGGCTAGCCTGGCTAGCGTACTCCATATAAGAAGCTCCACCTCTCGTACCTGGAGGATGGAGATCTAAGGCCTTACATTGCGTTCTGTACTTGTGGCTAGATACTTGATGGTGGAGATAGCTATATCTTCTTAGGCACGTTCTCACTCGTCAAGTCACCATACCTTATAATTGAGAGCAGAGATAGCAGTATCATCAGAATTGCCATATACGGACTCATTTCATTATAAGTGATGGCGGACAAAGTCGACACAAAAATCAAAAGGCAATAACGTATTGAAACACGGGGAAGTGCCGGAGCTCGGAGTATCATTTACATCTTCACCAGCGACGGATCATATAGTATAGCCCATCCGTGCATCAGACGAGTATCTCGCCAGAGGCTTACCGAGACACGAAGCTTGATTCATAAGCACAGAAGTTGTTGATGCCCAGAAAAGAAGCAGAAAGGTATTAGTGGCTGAAAACGAAACTACACAACCTCAACGCAAATAGACCTGCTGGAAAATAACATCCATTCCCAAAATCAGACATGACTTTCGCTGCATTCGTAACTTAATGTCTGGTGGTCGTGACAACTAGAATCCAAAAGTTAGCCAGCGCATTCGGTCGCCCTGAGTGTGCGGAGAGTGAGCGGAGCAGAAGACATACCGGCAGGAACAATGATGACAATGAGTAAGCAGATAACGCAGATGACCAGGCACACGCGCATCTTCATGTCCTTCCACCACATTTGCTTCCTCACGCGGTTAGCGCCACGACGGAAGCCCTGGGCAGATACGGCCAGGTTGTCTGTCTTGTCCTGCAAAGAGTCCAGGCGTTCGCCACGCTCCGATACCTTGAAAATATTTGAGCGCATCGTATCGACGGTCTCTTGGATTTTCTATTGGGTAAGGGGGAAAGAGTCAGCCAAATAGTTCAGAATAGGCATTGAAGAACCTAAAGCCTCGACCGCCAAAAAAGGATAGCGCTCGTGCGACATGACAAGCTTTGGAACTTGCCATATAGCCTCAATAATTGCAAACCCGGGCCGTAGAGGCTATTCTTTCAATGCTGGGAGACAAGTCAATTCACTTACTCTGTCGATTTCCCTTGTCCGAGGATCGCCATTCTGCGCTGCGTTGCCGCCGCTGGCGGAGGGCCCGTTAGAGCCAGAAGGGATATAAGGATCGTAAGGCTGCTCAGACATGATGACTTTCGAGGATGAAATTCGTTATATCCTGAGTTCGAGTGGTAAGAGCTGGTGGATCACCGACTCTGCTTGGAAGCTTGCGAAGACCTGTTTTGGAGCCTTCTATTCGCAGATGAGATGTCGTAAATGTCGTAGGACCGAAATCACGGTAAAACTAGAGGCGAACGTGATAAATGATAGTGCGCAGGAGGGCCTTGTAGCGTAGTGAGAGATAAATAGTCAGAGCGATGGCGGAGTGAAGCTGACAGGGTGTGATAAATCGCCGCTCGCCTTCTGGAGATTGGAATCGGGTCTAATTTGATCGGACCTGGCACGTGACATGCGAGCCACTCATCGTTGCCAGACACTCTTAGGCAGCTATTTTTATCATGGAACCTACAAAGAAGGGAAGAGAACTTCATACAACAGTGCAAGAACAAGTTGATGCAGTTGATGCTGCTGAAAAGTAGTATGATGACTACAGATAGCATAAGTACTGCAAGTTCTCTGGCACTTTTCTAGCTCGTAACATCGTCACTTGGTTGAAATGAAGAGGCCCATCAAGAGGATAATGTTGAACTCTGCATACACGTGCCTTTAGATATCATAATAGGCTATGGAGTACAGAGCACGGAGTACCTCCACGATATCAGCAAGAGGCTGTGCAACATTACAACTGAGCAGACGTCTTTTTTTGACAACACGCCACAGCCAAGAACTAAGTTCGTCTGGTCTCGGGCTGAGAAATGATTTCCTAGGATTTTCAATGCACTCACATCAGACATGATCAGTTCAAAATTAACCAGGCTCCTTCCTTCCATCTCATCTCGAGAGTATGTTCAGTGTCGATTCCTCGAAGCTGCAGCGGCGGAGCCGGAGTCAAGGAGACAGCCCACATGTCCGCGAATCGCCAAGACATATTGCTCTGCATGCACAAAGTATCATCTCTCCGTGTCATTACTTGGTCCTGTGTATACATAGTACCAAAAAAAATCTTCCGTGTGAAATCATCATCATGATAAGAAATGGCCAGTGCCATCACTCAGAGTCCATGAACAGTGTTGTCCGCTGGATCCGGTATCAAGGGGAACAAAAACAGCACTCATCCACTGCTGACTTTCTGCAGCGATTCCAATTCAGAAAACAGTCACTCGCAAAAGACGCTTGAAGGATCTCGACTGATAATTGGGACTCTGATTTACCACCATTATCATAATGGACGGATTGAGGTGTACTCCGTACGTCAGATTCTGGGGTCGCCTACGTTGTTCGCTACCTCCTCGGCTACAGGAGCTACTTGAATACTCAGTTATCACTAGACGGTTATCGATCTTTTCCCTGCATACTTCAGTGGCGATTGCCCGAAGTACTTTCAGTCTGCCGTCATACCCGCTGAATCGGATACGCCCAAGCTCAATCACGCAGTGGTACTCTCATCGCTAACTTGCAATGGTACAGTTCAATCGTTAGTATGTGGAAAGCTCGATTGGAGGGCATAATCAAAGGCGTTGACGTATTCTTCCCGTCGGCGATATCATGAGCGAAGTCGCATGCCAAACAGCCGGGAAATGCAACGTAGACCGGAGATCGTTCATGGCCTACCTGTCACGCTGGATATTCATGTTTACGTTGGTTCGGTACCGACGGTATGTCATTGTGATCATACGGCTAAATCAAATTGCGTCTCCAACAATCGCTCGAACCTCCAAGGCGCGCAATGTATGTTCTTGTGATGCAGAAAGAAAGGACTGGTGCCAATCTAGCCGGATGGCTCTTGAAAATGTTCACATCATAATATACATAAGCTTTTGCTAGCACCAGGGACATCAGTTATGCATATAAATACAAGCAAAGTGAAAACAATAGGGGCAATGCTCTGCTAAGCAGATCTTACTCCAAAGGCCGTTCATGGCAATCTGATTTCAATGCAAGCGCGTCACATTTGACAGCTCATTTCTCCCCCAGCAACTCCTTCCGCATCTCTTCGCGTTGTGACCTGGCTTCCTCCTTCGTCTGACTCCGTTGACTCTCGAGCTCTGCGCGCTTCTGTTCTTGCTGTTCCTGTGCAGCGAACCAAACTAGAATGCAGAAATATTAGGCAATGACTTCCTAGATGCCAACCGGTGTGGTTAAGGACGCACTCGACTTATCCGACTTGGACCATTGCTTCAACCGTGTAACGTATTCATCAAACTCTCGAGCGCGGCGATCGCCTTCCTCCAAGCTCCGCTTCTGAAGATCGGGGTTGTATCGCTTGAATAATTCCTCGTCGGTAGGTCGGATGGATTGGACGAATGCTGGGCCGCCGACGCAGATCACGGTTCCACTGTCGACAGAAAGAGACACAATTGTCAGACGCGCATAATGAGAAACCTCCTAACCATCGTGAAAGAGAGTCCTTACGCCACCAGCATCTTTAACCAAGTCCCCGCCCGAGACATAGTGGGCTATTTTCAGCAACGGCTATGACGACACTCTGTTAGGAATATGAATGCACGCGAAAAAGGCAGGTCGGGACGAAAGACGCCGATGTCGAGAGAGGTGCTTTGGTCAACAGTATTTCCGCGACCCTCTCGGATATGACGGAGCCCACTTCGAGCGTTTGCAGCTGGCTTAGACGGGAGCGATGTGTGCAGTGGTTATGACCTCGCTTCTATCGGATAGCATCAGTAGCTCGGTGCAGGTGGGAACATTATCGGGCGATCACGACCAATCTGTGGCTTAGCTGCTGAGGCTGTGTTTGCTGAATACATGTGGCGCAGCTGATGGTCACTCTCCGAATCATCACTGGTCGTATTCGTTTTCCTCTTCCAAGGCAAGGTGTTCAAATTTTGAATCCCTTTCTCCGCAGTCCACACCTCCCGCACCGCCGATTCGCTAGCAACTAACAGTGTTGAACTGTATGGACTAGGGTAGGGTGTAGATACTCCGTGGTGGGTACACGCTTTCCACTCTTACATTCAGAGTATTCATCCAGCATTAGTTACCTAATATTACCAGTAATGCAACAAGAACACTTAAACCATCCTCATGCTCCATAATCATTTGCGAATCAGCTTCAAATGATCACGTTTGAACCTGTTACGGAAATCCCTTTGCATTGGTGCAGGTGATCACTTCTGCTAAATTACAGTACTCTAGACTATGCAAGGGAAGTATCAATAAGCAGATCTCGATATTGTTACAATCATTAGGCACGATCTCATAATGTCCTGCGCAGAGGTATCTTGCCTGATGCACCGGGACATCTCAGGAATCAACCCCTGAAGATCAACACGAGGATGACCAACTACCAGTGATATTCGATATTTCATCATTGTCATCGTATGGTGTACATGAGACTTGTCTCACCAGTCTTCGACCTTCATCCTATGACAACACCGTCACATGTACGGAGTATTGGCAGTAGATATGGATTTTGACCCTGGCAATGAGAGGATACTAAGTTGGAAACTAAATATTGTCCATACCTGTTAGATTCGAGTAGTCCACGGGAATCAAAAGGTGGCCTTTGGTCCACAGAAAGTAGAATAAAGCAAGTGGGTCAAGGGATAAGGATGGATTAGAAGTGTCATCATGTTTCACACACAGTTTAATACAGCCGACGAAAGACTAATGACTCTAAGGATAGGTATGCACTGGGGTGTATCTCTCCCGTATGCATTTCGATATGCCATGCAAGTGCAGCCAAAGTGTTTAGGAAGTAATCCAAGGGTTCTCCTTAATCAAATCTTGCATATACTCTGCAGTTACTTTTTTGAAGGGAGCCTGGCGAGCTGGGTCTACTTACAATAATAATACTGGATAGCCCACTCCTGTCGCAGAAGCTACTGGTAGATTTTTATTACCTAGCTCTTAGGTAGAACAATGGTTCCTTGGATTCTCTGTTCATGGTTTAATATCAGATTATGTGATGAATTAAAGAGATCCAAGACCGAGTATCTGCTTTTAAGTGCGCACCTTCTGCCTAATCATTATTATTCATTAGCTTTTCATCCTTAATTGCTCCGAACTCCACCACTGCGAACTAGTGAGCATCGATTGTCAAAATAAATTGCTCCCCTCCCTCTTGTCATTTTCTGAAAACCGAGGGTGTTTGTCCTTGGTCACACGCTCTTGTCACAGAAGGTGGTGGTTTTCACTTTTGGACACTCGTTTTCGTCTACGATTCAATTGGACTTTGATTTTCCTTCATGCCAATCCGGAGAAACAGCATTGCTGCGCGTGGATAGTCGACCGGTCAGTCCTCGCATCGTCAGTCCGATCGCGACTCAGGATCTCGGTAGTAGTCCTGTTGCGACAGATCGCCAAAAAGTGTCTATCCGCTGACAATAATGTATCTTTTCCTAATGCAGGATTTGCGCACCCTCCACTACTCGCATGATCGGGTGGATTACATTCCTTTCATCCCCCCTTGCTGAAACCTTGTGTGCTTGTCGCTTGGTATCTCCGCATCTTTCTTCCCGCCGTTCAAGGCCGCTTTCGATCATTCTCAGGTCTGGACCACACCCCTCCTCTTAATCTCCGTTTGGCTCTTTGTTTGCGCTGGACTGACGGGTTTTATGGACGGTATAAAGCCTTCACCAGAAAGCATTATTGTGGGGTCACCGTGAATCTGCCGTCGTTTACTTCCTGGAGAACAAGACAACATCAAGGCTGGCGCCGACCCACTAATTCGCGACGACTACCGACCATCCCTTAACTGATAAGAGCTGTTACCGAGCATGGCATACCCCCCACCTCAATCGCAGAGGCCTCCTCCGGTCAGAAACTACGGCCCTCGTCCTACACCACGAGGCCCCCTGCCGCCAAGTCAGATGCAAGATGGGTCTTATGACCTTGGATACAGCGACTACAACTATGGGTCTCGTGGCGACCGAGGTTATGACAACGCCGGGTACGGTTACCCTGACGATCGAGCTGTTCCGAGATCTCAGGGGGCCCCGCGAGGCCCTCCGCGACCCCCTCGTGGGGGTTATGGTCCTCCTGCAGAGCAGCCCCATGATCGAAGCTATGGCTATAATGGACGACCACCACCCGGCCCCGACAGTCGTCGCGGCTACGGAGACAGGAGGCCACCTCCAAGGCAGGACCGGACGAGACCGTGTAAGTGAAAGCGATACATGCACAACCAACTTCCCTGAGCAAGTGTTGATCGAAAGGCCTAGCTGGACGTCCGCCCGCACCGGAACAGGACAGAATGGCATGGGATAACCCGTTTCCCACGTTTCCAGCGCAAGAGGCGCGCGGCGCCGCCGGCACTAGAGGTATTGAGAACGGTATGGCGGCAATGAAGCTCAATGGCCAGGTGCCACCTGGGAATCCCCCCGATCGCCCGCAAACATCGCACGGAAGACGTGATATCCCTCGGCAATCCGGTTCTACATCGCCTGGTCGAGGGAGGGGAGTCTATCCTGGTCCTATGAGGTCGGCCAGTGCAGGACGCTCCGGGCGGCGACCTTCGGATGCCTATGAGCGCTCCTACACTTCCGCCGGCGAGCCGCCACCGATGCCTTACATTAACAGAAGTGCTACGATGCCTGTGCATTCGGCATCGCCCACGTCCTCTGCTGCCCAACCCACATATCCTGGGCAGCCCACCTATCAGGACCCTACCTCATCGAATGATTACAGTGATACCGATGAACTGCTGAGCTATTACAGAACAGCTCATGCCGACGAGTCCGACATGCCTAACTTTGATGCCATCCCTGACGGTGGCAAGGTCATCGATGAGAGTCTGCCGGGGCTAGAACAGCCGAAGCCGAAAGCGAGAGCACCTGCTGACCCTGCCGCTTCATCCCAAGGCCAGTATGCAGCGTTCAACCCGCATTCCGGTAGTGCCAATCAGTACCCTCAGTCGCAACACAATATTGCTGGGGTCAGTACACCGAACCGGTTTGATAGTGCAGGGTTCCAATTCGACCTACCCGGTAACCCACCATCAGCGTCCCCTGTCCGAACTCAGGGCAGTATGGACCAGGGCTACAATGGGCAGCCGGATTCTTACGAGGACCCGATGAATAATCAATATATGCAACGACAGGGAAGTCGAGGGCCTGCTGTTCCAGCCTATGGAAATGGACCTCCTCGACCGTACAGGGTGAATCAGCCTGGATTTGCGAACGAGCAACCACAGATGGTCAATGAGACGACTGAATTCGATTCGCAACAAAATCCGGACGCCCTGCCTCATCATCCTGCGCCTTTCCGTCTAGGTCATGACCAGGGCAGCAAGCCGCCTCCAGTGCGGCAGTACGACAATAGTAACACTCCGAGATCTCCAACCTCCACCGTCCCGCAGACCCAGCCTATCGCTCAGCCGGAAGACTCCGCGCCTGCGCCTGTCACTCACGAAGAGCTTGAGCGCTTGCAGCAAGTGGTACGGGGCGGAGCGGCCGACCAGAAGACTCAACTTCTACTGGCACAGAAACTGGTTGAGGCCTCGACGGTCCTTGTCGAAAATAGCAGGATGGATCCGAAAACCAAAGCTAGGGCTAGAGAAAAATACATCATGGATGCGCACAAGATCGTCAAAAAGTTGGTATCCAGTGGTTATGCAGATGCTCAGTTCTACCTTGCGGATTGTTACGGCCAGGGTTTATTGGGCCTGTTGGTAGACCCGAAGGAAGCTTTCAACCTATACCATTCCGCAGCGAAGCAAGGGCACGCTCAATCCGCTTATCGGGTTGCCGTGTGCTGCGAGATTGGCCAAGAAGAAGGCGGTGGAACGAAGCGAGATCCGTTCAAGGCAGTGCAATGGTACAAACGCGCTGCTACCTTGGGAGATACTCCTGCTATGTACAAGATGGGAATGATTCTCGTTAAGGGCCTCCTAGGCCAAGCCAGAAATCCTCGTGAGGGTGTTTCATGGCTCAAACGGGCGGCCGAGCGTGCTGACCCAGAAAACCCACACGCTCTCCATGAGCTTGCGCTCATGTACGCAAACGCCACTGACAATGACGTCGTCATTCGTGACGAAGCGTATGCCTCTCAACTGTTCCATCAGGCTGCAGAGCTGGGTTACAAGTTCTCCCAATTCCGACTTGGTGCTGCCTATGAATACGGCTTGATGGGTTGTCCGGTGGATCCTCGACAGAGTATCTTCTGGTACACGCACGCTGCAGCACAAGGAGAGCACCAGAGTGAGCTGGCCCTGAGCGGGTGGTATCTGACGGGTTCTGAAGGCATACTTCAGCAAAGCGACACTGAGGCCTACCTTTGGGCGCGCAAGGCAGCCACCGCGGGTCTTGCGAAGGCAGAATATGCGATGGGTTATTTCACTGAAGTTGGCATTGGAGTCGCAGCCAATCTGGATGATGCCAAAAGATGGTATTGGCGAGCAGCTGGTAAGTTCCTTCCCGTCTTCTGTCTGCGGTCTCCGTGTCTCAAGCTAATGTGTTTGCTTCAACCCACCAGCTCAAGGTTTTCCCAAGGCTCGGGAACGTCTCGAGGAAATCAAGAAAGGCGGGGCTCGCATGCAAAAGACCCGTCTCTCTCGCTCCGCTGTCAATCGGCAACAGAACGAGGGCGATTGCGTCCTCATGTAAACTCGGATTCATGCGTCACGTATTTCACGATTGGTTTCCTCGTGCACCTACGTTTTTTTTTTTTTTTTTTTTTTGTTATTCCTATGGCGTTGCTCTCCTTCGTCGGCTAGATTGCATGTTTTGCCTGCATTTGACGCATATACCCCCTAATGACATTACCAACTTCGCATGTTGACGCAATGTATAATGTTGGAAAAGGTGCCATTTTGGAGACGGATGCTCCGCTCTTGTACATTTGCTCTGCTGTCTCCGTTTGTCTTTTTCGTGATGTACCGAAGGAATAATGGCCATGTTTCCATCCTCACGCTCTGCTCTGTCCTCTTAGTGCCGCGTAAAACAACAAAGAGCCAAGAACCGCGGCCTTCTGATAATGTCGCATAGAGTGGTTTATAAAGCCGCGACCACTATCTGATGTCCTGGACTGGTTCGATACACCAGGCCAGATCCATTCTCCGACAGTAACTGGCTTACTGCATGGAAAGCTGACAGATTTAAATGATGTCGTCCACTCGCATCTGACATAACACAGCATCCAGATATCCATCTGACAGTGTATAAGTTTTATAGACACGGACACCATGATAGGACTGACATTGTCATGGTCCGACAGGAAAAGCACAAAGCGGGCTGATTCCGCACTTTTGCTGATGGCGGAACCGATGGGGCCATTTGCTTAGTATTGATTACAATTGCTTCGAGGTAGAAGTTGAAGACGCAATCTTTTCACGATAAATCCATGCTTAGATATTCCTAAATTTTCAGCCCCTCTGACTTGCTAACATCTCGTCTGTGCGCCCCCTTGTATATATTCTTGTCTAGCCACCGCAAACCCGGCTGACAGCATTCCTGTCCGCTTTATCCGATAGAGATACGGATATATGTCTTCAGCTGCCAATACTCCCCCATCCAGCACAAGCGACCAACACAGCAGTAGGAAACTCGCAATTCTCTCGCTCACCTCTCTGTTAGCGGCGATACTCCTCGCTGCGTTCGGCTACGGGTTCAGCGCCGAAAATACTAATACCACTGCCAAGCTGTTCGGGCTTAGACGACTCTTCGGAACGCAGGCTGCTGCTGTGGTGAAGAGAAATATCTCGACAAGCTCTGCTATTTCGAAATCCGGCAGCACGATGAGAACGCCAGTTTACTTCTTGAGTCATGGGGGTGTGAGTCTTCTTTCCTTGTTACGCGTAGGTCGGGGAATGGTGCGATTGACTGGGTGCTACAGCCGAATATCATGTATGAGCGAGACCACCCGGCGTACAGTAAATTAGGTGAGATCGGGCGCGAGATCACCACCAAAGTCAAGCCGCGGGCTGTTGTGGTGTTCTCTGCGCATTGGCAGGCTGGTCGCGACACGATTCAGGTGAATACAGCTGAGATGACGGATCTTATATACGAGTAGGTGGAATCATGACATCGTGCTCGGTTATGCATGCTGAGTGGGCTCTGTTAGTTTCTACGGCTTCCCGAGCCACTATTACAAGGAGAAGTTTCCTAATGTTGGGAGCAAAGAGGTTGCGAACAAGGTGCTTGATGCGTTGAAGGAGGCGGGCATCAAAGCGGAGGGAGTGAAGAGAGGTTTAGATCATGGTGTTTGGGTCAGCTTCAAGTGCGGTAAGTGGCTCGAGATATCCGTTGCGTGAATTGGTGGGCCGGTAGTAATGCGTGGAATGCAGCGTTTGAGCCAGACTCCAACCCCTTGAACGTCCCGATAGTGCAGGTGTCCTTGTTCGACACCGAGGATCCTGCTCAGCACTACCAACTCGGACAAGCGGTATCCAAGCTCCGCGATGAGAATATCCTGATCATTGTATCGGGTATGGCAGTCCACAACCTGCGCGACCTGCGGTTCACTTGGGGCAACCCCAAGCCAATGCCGTACACTACTAGCTTTGACGAGGCTCTGAAGGACGCTGTCACGAAGCCGCCTGCAGAAAGAGAGCAGGCCATGATTGACCTCCTGAAGCGACCCGATGCCCGTCAAGCCCATCCATCCTTTGATCATGTGCTACCCATTCATATCGGAGCTGGCGCTGCGGAAGATGATCTTGGAAAGAGACTCTGGACGTTGAAGGAGGGAAGTATGAGCTGGGCGCAGTATAGATTTGGTGATGTAAGCAATAATAGCTCGCTGTAGTAAGCATAAGTGAGATTGGTGTAGAAATTCCCACCGCACTTGCGTCCTGAACGTGGTCGACGTATTTTGGATTCATCTATAGATACAGTATTGGACAGCTGGAAGGAAACGGTGCATGAACATATAAGACGGCGTGACAATTGCACTACGAAGACTCCTTGACCAGCTGAGAGACTTTCTCTTCAATTTGCTGATCCGAAAGGCCTGTATGCATCCGCAGATATCAGTCAAAGCACTTGTACACTAGGACATTACCGAGACGTACCGGACAGCGATTCCTGCTTCTCCTTTCCAAATCCTGTTCATAATAGCTGTATTAGCCCAAACTGCTCTTCCATTGGCTTCTTCTTATGAATATCTGCCGTACCGTATCGAGCATATACTCTGGGCAAAGTGCCTGCTGCCTCCCGGATCAGAATGGGAGTCTGGGGGTTGTGCTTCTTCATAGTCGGGTACGCGCGCTGCAGGAAGGACCTGCGATCGGAAGTCATAAAGTCAGTAATCGCCTTCAGCATCAGCACCGCGATTGCCAGAATCTTACCGTGTAGCAGCGCTCTGCTCTGAAGTCTGGCAGAAAAGGAAGCGGAGCTCCTTCAGTCCTTTAGAGAAGGCGTATTTGGACGACATTATGCAAAAGAATGGACGATTTAAATGGACAAAAGCGTAGACAGCCGGAACAAACTATCCCCCCGTAAACGATAGCAATGGGTATCAATTGGGGATATTGAGCGCGAGAGAACCGATGAGGGGTGTTGCAGAGCACTTTGATGATGATTCCGTCGGAGTTCGATTGTAGACCAATACGGTCAAGCGTAATGTCGCCGCTTACCTCAGCCGGAAAACGAGCCGCATTCCCAACGAGGCCGCCGAGGTCGGGCAGTGGCCATAATGAGATATCTGATACATATCGTCGACCGGAACACCTCGCGTGCTTCGTTTCTTATTCCTCCTTAGACTATTTCCACTCATACTTCGGTGGGGTTCTTGATAGTGCTTTGCGCCTCAATTTGTACAAAGACCCCATCTCTCTCCACACCGGTCCTTCCCTCGATCACGACCCTTCAAACCTAGTCATCATTTCCGCCGTGACAACACATCAAAATGTCTTCTTCGCGTATCGGTCTGCGCTTCTTCCAGAACACCCGGGCTGCTTTCCGCAATGCCTACGGTCCCTTCCGTCGGCCTGGTGCCCAGGGACGCCGTTTCCAGACCTCAGATGCGGCATCCGCCGAACAACAGAGCACTTTCCAGCGTCTATGGAACAGCCCTGTCGGCATCAAGACCGTTCACTTCTGGTATGTTTGGACATATGGTGGAGCAATTAATTGGTGATGTCCGCTTTTTGTTGATCAACATGCTGACATGAGATGATTTAATCGGGTAGGGCGCCTGTCATGAAGGTATAGATCCGTGAACACTATCTCTTTCACCGCCGTCATCACCCTTGCTACGCATTGAGATATCTAGTAGCTTAGAGATGCCGAACACTGGGTTGGAAACATATCGCTAACACCATTTTCGTTGAAAACAGTGGGCTTTGGTCATTGCGGGTATCTCCGATTTTGGTCGTCCCGCCGAGAAGCTCTCCCTCACTCAGAACGCTGCCCTGATGGCCACCGGTGCTATTTGGACTCGCTGGTGCTTTATCATCAAGCCCCGCAACATTCTGTATGTTTTGTTCATTGTTGCAAATACTCCTGAACTTGAGCGTACTAACAGTTTATCAGGCTTGCTGCTGTTAACTTCTTCCTCGGATGTGTTGGTGTCGTTCAGGTTACCCGGATCTTCATGTACCGCCGCAGCTTGGAAGGAGGATCGACAAAGGAGGCCTTGAAGGATATAGAGCACGAGGTGGTTGACTCGGCGAAGTCCGCCGTTGGTAAGGCTGAGGCGGCTGTCAAGAAGTCTACATAATGACTTCAGGTTAAGGTCGGGAAATGCTCGCGTGCAATCGCAGACCACAAGGACGCACGACGAGAGATATCCCTCTTTACTACAAGCAGAAGCGGCTACTGTATATACTCACCCTTGAATATGAGATAAATTGGCTAATAAACGATGCGCCTTTGCGCATTGAAGGATCAGTTGTGTAGGTTTGATGGAACATTAGGAGTCTTGGACCATTGCATGTTATGCTCATACCTTTCCCAAGAATGACAGTCATTACTGTAATCAAGCTGTGAGTTTTCGATTACTTTGGAGTCACATTCAGGCCCTTATCACGGAGCATTTGGAATGAAAAGCTTGATGACAGTTGACATTGTTCTTCCGCTATTCATAGTTAGTCTATATCGGCATTGCCTGTATGATTTTGACCTCTTTCTAAGATTTAGCTTGGTTTTATAAAGCAGACGATAAGATACAGACGGGTGGCGTTGTTACAATTTCCTTCTTATCTATTTAAAGTCTGCTGAGCGCAGTTCTACCAAGAAATAGCACGAGTGGCCAAGTGGCTAAGGCGTCGCACTTGTATCTACCCCACAAGGGGATCGATCGCTATGCGAAGATCGGGGGTTCAATTCCCCTCTTGTGCATTTCTTTTTTCAATCCGACATCTTTTTATTCGCGGGCCTCTTCCATCAATCCTACTTTTTCTTACTTTTTATGTGATTTCGTCTTCTCATTTGAGATATCAACAGCATGATCTAGGAGTTGTGTCGAATCACCTTGTTTTTCTTTTGTGGTGATGTTTGTAGTTGAGACAGGTGATGCCATGTATATATTTGTTTGAAGTTTCGAGCACTTCTGCCGGCCTTGGACCCATCGCTGTCATCGGATCAAGCAGACACAGGCTCAACTGAAATGTCTGAATCTCTACACATCGCCTTATTTGCTGGATGGTTAATTCTAACAAAGCCCATTGCAAATCTAGCCATAGGCCGTGCATCTTCTAATCCTGCTGATTTATGCAGAACTAACAATGCCTCGCTTGAGTGATAGCACCAACTGATTTAGATAATAAGCTAGGCCTGAGATTTGTCTTCTGTTGTTCCGCCAGAATGTGCTTTGAAATGTTCTAGCAGCGGCCTACATGTCCTTGAATAAGCTCTATCCCTTTCGTATCTCCGAATGCTATTAGAGCGCGCTACAGCGAGCAGCTTGCTCTGTTGAGAGCAGGTTGAGAAAATGAGCAAGCTCATACGATGGTAGAATGGGGACACACCGAGTGGGACTAGCTTAGGACCCTCGGTACGGACACGGAGTAGACGGTCGCGGAGATCGGCCCCAATCCAGAGAACGGAGAACTTTTGATCGAGGCATGTGGGCTCTTATAGAGTTTGTCCTGTGTTGCTTTGCGTCAATTTTGCCTTATATGTTCAGGACGGGATGATTAGTTACACAGCTCGATGCAAACTATGGAGTAGAGATAGAGTAGGTGCCTAGTAGTAGGCACAGTGTTATTGCGGGCTCGTACGGTAGTCTGAATTAATCCGAATCCGAATCCGAAAGGGGGTCGGTCTGTCTACTTTACGGAGTACGGCAGGCATTCTTCGACTATCACTGCCTGGCATCTCGTTCATTTCCCTTGCAATTGAAACCACCAGATAGCCATGGATTTTGACCATCTTGCCGAAAAGAAACAGGAACAGAAGGCCACTGCTTGGTTGAACCTTTTGACGAGTCGGAGCCCAGAAATCTTGTCTATGCAGCTTGCTGAGAAGCATCGGCCTGGCGAAACAGTATCTGCATGCCTTTGGAAAAGTGGTGCTTTCAATATATGCTATCGTGTCCGGTATAACGAGGGGCCAGATGTCATTGTTCGTTTCGCTGCCCTTGGAAGGGCTATTCTACGCAGGGAGAAGGTCCAAAATGAAGTCGCAACGATGAAGTACATACGCCACACCACTTCGATACCAGTTCCTGAAGTGTTCGGCTCCGGTATCTGTTGGGCGGGTCCTTACATTGTCATGTCATTTCTCGAAGGAGTGCCATTATCGCAACTCCTCAAAGATCCTTCCATAAAAGGAAGGCCTGTCCTGAACCCGCAAATAAGCGATCGGAGCTTGAAGCGGGCTTATCGCGAGATGGCCGCGCTTGTCCTCGAGTTATCCAAGCATGAATTTGATTCTATCGGGGCGCTTGGGGAGAATGAGAGGGGGTTTTCAATCACCGGGCGACCTCTCACCTTCAACATGAATGAGTTAATGGGGTCCGCAAATTTGCCTGAAGAAGTCTTCCCCTCGCACACCTTCAGGTCAGCCACGGACTACTTTGAAACGCTTGCTATACAGCATCTCCTCCATCTTCGGCTACAGCAACGAGATGCCGTCAGCAGCGAGGACGACTGTCGGAGGAAATTCACTGCTCGTTGTTTATTCCTTAATATTACGAAGAAACTCTGCGCCGAGCATCCTCAAGAGCCGTTTCGGCTATATTGTGACGATTTTCGTCCTTCAAACGTCCTTATAGATCTGGATGCCTCACGTGTCTCGGGAGTTATTGACTGGGAGTTCACATATGCTGCGCCTGCTGAGTTTACATATGTAGCTCCTTGGTGGCTCTTGCTGCAAAGCCCGGAAGATTGGGAGGGCGATTTAAACGAGTTTCTGGTTCGGTATACTCCCCGACTTCGTGCCTTTCTGGACGTCCTAAGCGACCATGAAAATAAGTTGATTAAACAACACCTCCTTTTGGAGTCACAGCGCCTCTCTCCCCGGATGGAACACTCCATGGAGACTGGGTTATTTTGGGTATGTCTAGCAGCAAGGTACAGCTCCATGTTCGATGAAATCTATTGGACATTTATCGACCACCGGTATTATGGGACTTTTACTTCTCTCGAGGACCGTATACAGCTTTTGGACCCTGAACAGCAGCATGAGATGCACGAGCTTGTGAGGATCAAGACTGACCTGTGCAATGAGGAAAAGGAAAGTTTCGACGATCACTATCCAATTGACAAGCTACTTGAATTATGATTGTGTATCTATCTAGCAGCTGAGAGATATTTCGGTATGTTCAAACAAACAGTAAACGCTATCAGGTAACCTAACGCAAGGCTGAGTGGCAGGTTCTTTCTGGACTGCCACTGGTCAATATGCTGAATCCAAGTGCAGGGGTGAGGTCCTCAGTATTACCCTGTCTTTACCTCACCCAACTAAACGCCAAACTTTTAGGCCAGGATCGAGGAACATTGCGAAGCTTAGGTAACTAGAGCTGGAATCCAGTCGATGATATATGCTTACATTATGAAGGGACCTCGTATCTTAACAACCCGCTTATCCGAATCATCTTGACCATGAGTGATCAGCAGGCTCGCGAGAGCTTCGCGTCCATCCTCAGCTACTACCGCCACAATCGCGAGTCGTTGGGAAATGTCCCAGACTGGGTTGACAAGCCCCAGAGCGGAAATATTGTCATTGGCCTTCTCAGAGATAGTGCTCCAACCGACGAACAAGTCGAAAAGGCTAAGGAGGAACTAAGGGCTTTCATGGCCATAGAAGAAACCCAGGCAGCCCTATCTGAAACGGAAAAGGCTATCTTGACGGCAGCAGCTAATTCTAGCCGTGCAAAACGACTGCAAAACAAGAAGGACAAATAAGTCGATACTGTTTGGCTTGGATTTGAATATCTAGGTATGTATATGTTCTGATTGCAGCACTTGACGTTTTATGCCGATAAACCTATGGAAGGTACGAATCTCTGTACGGAGTATTTGCATTCTGGAAATGCCTTTCCGCATTGCTTTCCCTTGCAACCACACAATCAGCACCCACTGAAGGAAGGAATCAAATCTTTGACTGGAGTTGTCTTCATCCGCCGAGTAAAGGCTTTCAACCTAGAAAACAGCTTTTCGATCGGATCCAAATCAGGTGAGTATGGAGGCAAATACACCAGCTTAGCCGCTACTTTTGAGCACATTTGCTCTATTCGCTCAAAACGGTGAAACCAGGCATGGTCCATAACAAGAACGGATTTTGGCACAAGATAGTTTCGCAATGAAGAAGAAGCTGCCGGATAAGGTCTCCAATGTGTAGGCCAGTCTAAGCACTGGAAAACACAAAAGACAATGCGGTCTTGAGCGTACACAGGAAGTATCTGATACCGCAGATCGCGATGGACTAGAAACTTGGATAGGTGCTATAGTATGTTAAGAGGAGTTTAAAGTAGACACTTCTACCTCTTTCGACAAGCGTTAATGACCCCAGAAAAAAAGGAGTTGAAATCCAGAGCAGTAATTGCTTAGTCCACTTTGCTTTCAATCATGTGGTTAGCAGACGTCTAGAATTTCTGATAGGAGGGATGACCATGATGAATGAGAACATGGAACCAATCAGGTCGCCTTAAGCAGAGACAAGTTCGCAGTCAATTGCAATCCATCTCAACTATCCACTATCAACAAATAACAAAGTCGGAAGGTCAGCGGACATATAATAGCTTCAAGCCACGAAGGAGTACATAGTTTTTCCTTCCAATCGGAGGAATTTCTCTCCACCCCCAAGTTATCCCTCCTATCAGAACTCCTAGACGTGTGCTCCAACCAAGGTCGAGTATAAACATCGAAAGCCAAGCGCGCTAAGACGATTAGTGCCCTGGATTTCAACTTTTTTTCTGGGGTCAACAACCAGAAACACGTGCAGAAGCATCATCTTTGGGCTTCCCCAAACTCCACAATTGCTCCGCCGGCGTGCTCCCCGGCTAAAGGCAATTTCCACCCCCTCACTCCACAAAGTGTCTATACTAGTTCATGCTGGGGATATGCAGCGTGGATTAATCTAGATCGAGAATGAATCCAACTCATATATAAACGTCACCCCTGTCACCCGCAGTCTTCTCTCGTTCAGCGATCTTCTCAAGCAAGTGCCCACCTTTCTTGAGGTTACATACTTGTCAATCGCAATGAAGTTCTCGTATAGCTTTATCCAGGCAGTGAGCTTGTTGCTCTCCTTGAGCCCTTCCGCTGAAGGCCTTTCTCGCTCGAGAAACGACGCGTGCAAGCCCAATCACCCATTCCAGCCTCTACCTCCCAGTCAGCCCCGGACAAAGACATGCCATGTTGCCAGCAACGGCTATGGTATGGACGACTCCAAGAACATCCTGCAAGCACTGCATAAATGCAACAACGGCGGCAAGGTTGTCTTTGATGCCGACAAGGTGTACACCGTTGGTACTGCCTTGGACATGACATTCCTTAAGCACGTTGACCTGGGTAAGAATCCATACTGTCGAGTTCAAAATTGACCATTGCATGCTTACGTGAATGCAACAGAGGTCCTTGGGAAGATTCAGTTTACCGATGATACCGATTACTGGCAAGCCAACGCCTTCAAGCACGGCTTCCAGAATGCCACGACCTTCTTCCAGCTGGGTGGTGAGGACGTGAACGTGTATGGTGGCGGTACCTTTGACGGCAACGGACAAATCTGGTACGATCTCTTCGCACAGAATGCGCTCATCATGCGCCCTATCCTGTTCGGCGTTATTGGGCTGAAGGGAGGAACAATCGGGCCTCTGAAGCTCCGCTACTCGCCCCAGTGGTACCACTTTGTGGCCAATTCTTCCGATGTGATCTTCGACGGCATCGATATCTCCGGATACAGCAGCAGCAAGAACCTGGCTAAGAACACTGATGGATGGTGAGAGTCGACTGCTCCGGACAATCATCTCTATTCTGACCACCGCCACAGGGATACCTACCGCTCGGATAACATTGTCATCCAAAACTCCGTCATCAACAACGGCGATGGTATATCTGCTGCACCCAACTTCAAGAAAACAAACTGACAAAGTATGCAGATTGTGTGTCCTTCAAGCCCAACAGTACCAACATCCTCGTCCAGAACCTCCACTGCAACGGCTCTCACGGCATCTCCGTCGGCTCTCTTGGCCAGTACAAGGGCGAGGTTGACATTGTGCAGAATGTCCTCGTCTACAACATCTCCATGTTCAATGCCTCGGTAGGGATCTTACACGCCCACCGGAATCCCTCAATAGCTGACGATTCTTGCTAGGATGGTGCTCGTATCAAGGTGTGGCCCGGTCTCCAGTCCGCCATGTCTGTGGACCTACAGGGTGGCGGTGGCCTGGGATCGGTAAAGAACATCACCTACAACCAGATGTACATTGAGAACGTCGACTGGGCTATCGAGGTGACCCAGTGCTACGGACAGAAGAACTTGACTCTGTGCAACCAGTACCCTGTAAGTCCATTCTTTCTAGTTCGCACGCGATTCGTGTTTAACTGACCGAATCTACAGAGCAGCCTCACAATCTCAGACGTCCACTTCAAGAACTTCCGGGGAACGACATCCGGCAGGTACAACCCCAACGTCGGCACAATCGTCTGCTCCAGCCCGAATGTAAGTGCGACACTATGCTTTGAAAGCAGCGGTTCTAATGCTTTTAGGTTTGCTCCAACATCTACGCTGAGAACATCAACGTGAAGAGTCCCAAAGGAACTAATGCATTCGTTTGCACCAATGTAAGTCCTGCATCTGGAGACTGTACGGGACAAGCTAACAGCCTTTACTAGGTTGACAAGAGCCTTCTGAATGTCAGCTGCGCATAGATGCTCCGCGGTGACTGAATAATGTACTTATCTGCTTTAAACTTAGTGTCTGATAATAGGAATGTCGGTTATTGCCAATCTACAATGACGTAAAGAGGCTGCCTGCTCATTGCGTCTGAAACATGACTCCACCATACAGATACCGAAAGCAAGAAGCTCAGTCAGCTATTAGCAATAAGCAATAAGCAATCGGGAAAACCCCATCCCCATGCATAAGGTGGAGCACAGGTCGTATATGCGGGGTTCGGCACAATTCCGCTGTAGCCTACAATAGATCATGAAAAGAGATTACAGAGCCTGTACGGTGTACAGGCATTGGAATAAGTATATCAACCAAGCCGATAGAAAGAACAAGTCTGGGGCAAGGAAACAGCACCTCTACCATGGCCTCAAAAAGAAGCACCAGCATCATCGTAACCGGTCCGACTCCGTCCGTCCCATACCCACAACCTCTTTCCAAGGATCCCAGATCTAACACCGAAAGACTGAATAGGAGGCGCCTCAGGCATCGGCCTAGGTATCACCCGCTACTTCGCCCCCCAACCAAACACCCACATCACCATCCTCGACATAAACGACGGCACCGCGATCCTCAAGCAGCTACGCACCGAGTACCCCTCCGCAAGCCTGGCCTTCTCGCAATGCGACGTCTCCTCCTGGGAAAGCCAAGCCGCCGCCTTTGAGAAGGTAGTCGCCGAGCAGGGGCACATCGATATCGTCTTCGCGAACGCCGGCATAACACAGAAGGGAGACCTGCTATCCAACATCCACGACGCGAGGCCTTCGAAACCGGAGCTGAGGACGTTGGATGTTAACCTCGTCGGCGTGATATACAGTACCTCTCCCCTCTCCCCTCCCCCCTCCCCCCTCCCCCACTCCACTTTCCAGGAAGTGCTAACACTGAGTGTCAGCGGTCAAGCTAGCAGCGCATTATATGGTGAGAAACCCGCCAAGAGGATCAGAGACAGGCCGCTCCAAGGGGAGTATCATCTGCACGGCGTCAAACGCGGGGATCTACCCGTTTCCGATTGTGCCGCTGTACGCGGCCACGAAGAGCGGTGTGATCGGGCTGGTGCGCTCGCTTGCGCGATCGCTGGAGAGGGAGCAGATCCAGATTAATGCGCTGGCGCCGGCTGTTATTGGTTAGTTTGCTGATTCTTGAGAGGGTCACAGAGGGGTGCGAGGGTGTGGGCTGATTGAAGCAGAGACGAATATTGCGCCGGATTCTGCGCTGTTCAGGTCCATGATTCTTACGCCCATGTCGACTGCTACGAGGGCGGTTGCGCAGCTTGTTGGGGACGCCTCGTTGACGGGGAAAGTGCTGGAATTGCATGGGGAGGAGGTGACATTTGCGGAGCCGCCGGCGTATGTCGATGAAGATACGGGGACGAATATTGAGATGTTTTGGAAGCTGGGGTATGCGTAGTAGATTTACGGGCCGAAAAATGATGGAGTCGTGAAGAAGAGGCTCTAGCTATTTGCTAGACCTGTAGGTTGATTTCCAACGGGTGGACCTAACGCCCGCTGCCCTAATTATACATCAATTCATTATCGTAAAACCGTCCGTTACCAACGCCAGATACCAAATAACACCGGTATATATGTCGTTATTCCCATTTATCCAGCCCTCAAGGAAGTCAATCGCTCTCATCCTGGAGCAGCACCTTGAGCTTCTCCAGTTTATCCTCGCACTTCACCTCCATCTGCATCACCACATCGACACTCTTCTTCTTCGTGATGAGGAGCTGTGACACAAGCCAGAAGTTGTAGCCGTTCTTGTAGAAGCCCATGGACGCCCACTCGTGGCTGGAGACTGTATTTCGCAGCGCCAACCAATGATCGCGCCATCGTGACAGTGCTGTTCGGATAGCGGCTAATGTGGAGTCTTCCGGAATGGCATCTCGAGGGGTCTCCGTGGGTGTTGAAGGTCGATGTGGTATTTTTGAATCAGGCAATTGTGTTTTGCGTACCAAGGGAGCCAGGAGGGTCATGTGTGTATTTATGAAGGCATACAGCACTACAGACGGGTGAGT